GGTAACTTAACTCCTCTTGCAAGCTTTGTACTCATTACTCGTTTAGGTACGTATAGACTTAAGCACCCGGAAAGTGATCTGCCGCTACCATATAGAGGATCTAAACTCAGCAAGTCTGAGTGTAAAAAAAACTTTTTAAGTCTACAACACACAAATCCTTGATTAGTTAGCTATAGGGCATAACATGTATTCAAAGCACTATTAGTTTGTGGATACTTAAGTTAGCAAACATATTACAAGCATATGAATTGAACTGTGACTTGGCCAACCAACCTTGCAATCAAATTTGTGTCACGCTGTCTTTTCTTTCTCCCTTTTGATTTGCATGAGATACACTGTATGCCATCCTAAATACATCTCACCTTGCATAAGGGACATGGGAATGAATTGTCATGTTCCAACATAATAAAAAGAGGAGAATTTGGTTCAAATATAATAGATATGCATGCTCCACCTGCCCCCTTTAATTTGGCTACTCATGCTTCTGCCAAAATCTAATCCAACCAACCAACCATTTTATCGTCTGCATTCATGTATACTATATTGCCATACAAACACATCTTTGATATATGAAAATCCCATTGTCGCTCACACGGTCATACCACCTTATCTTCATTTATAGTATCTTCTTCTTCCCATCTTTAGTGCACCTCCAAAATTGTTCGACGGTTACTTTGTTGCAATGCTCGTTAAACAAAAACAAATAAGAGTTTTGTACTAACAAAATAAACTAATACTATTTATGCTACACAATAAAACTTGGCAATTGCACACGTAATGCTTAATAACCATTTAAAAATTACTAGGAACCTCATCGTGATCACTTCTTTTTTTTTTTTTTTTATGAATAAACGATAGTATATGCACTAATGATGTGGGAAAATGAGCTAAGCCTCACAATGGACTAGCCATAATAATGGAGTTCAAATTCACCTTTAGCGAGAATCGCACCTGAGACCTCTCACTAACAAATGAAGAGGAATACCACTAGACCATAGTACTAAGTGGCTCATCGTGACCTTATTTAAAGACAGCATTGTCTGTATTTATTATTTTTCAATTAAAATATACATTTAGAAAAACAAATCTATGTAGAATTATCAGATAAACGGGCCAAAGGCCCACTTCCAAAAATACTGATATTGTCCCCAACTTGATAATTACCATCTGCACAATCCGTCAGGTGTGGGGTTTTATCACAAAAAGTCTCGGTGTTAGTTAGACTAGGGTTAGGGTATTTAAACTATTACTTTTCTTTTCTACGGCCGATGTGGGATTCAACACACTCGCTTACTTGGGACCCAATGGGTCACACGTGGAAGATCCACATATCGACAACCATGTGGTGCTAAGAGGACTCACCATACACTCAGGGTCACGAGACCCACCATCATCGCGTGGGGCCAAGGGGACCCACCCATCACGTGGCTATACAATATGGGCCCGTTCCATGGCTCTGATACCATTTAGAAGTATTAGAGAGACAAGCTAAAGACCCACTTCCAACAACACCGACATTGTCCCTAACTTAGTAATTAATTACCACCTGCAAAATCCGTCAGGTGTGTGGGTTATCACAAAATACCTCAATGTTAGTTAGAGTGAGGTTAGGGTATTTAAACTATTACTTTTCTTTTTCTACGACGGATGTGGAATTCAACAATCCAATAGTTTAAATACAATTTAGTAAAATAACATTTCAAATTGTATGACAAGTGAACATTTATTTTAAGGGTACATCTCTAGTGCGAAATCACATTTGACGAAAATTCAATCCAATGAGTTATATAAATCTATGCCCTAGCAAAGAATAACAAACTTATGAGTCTGATGACTAACGCATACAATAAAGAACTCCACTTTTGTATATTTAAGGAAACTAAAGTTGTTATAAGTGACTAACTTTGTTACTGCTAGTGTAGGTATAAAATTTAAACGTGGGTATATGAATGCGAGTGGGAAGATGAAAAGTTATCCATCCAAATATGATCAAAAAGTAGGAGATGGGATGGGAATATGAAAATCGATATATGATAGAAGAATGTATGTGTCGGAAAAATGACACAATGCATGCACTTGTTGCGGAGGCTGAAAGAGTCGATTCATTTCATGGATTTATGAGCAAAGGGGCTTGGCACTTTGCTCTATCAAATAATGAAAGCTTCTTTTGGATGTTGGAAGCTTAGTATCTCACATGGGGTTTATTTGGTATAATATAGATGCGGTTTGACCACATTTTTATTTTTATTTTGTTACATTTTTCTTTTTTATTTTGTTCATTCGTTTTTTTATGCTAGATAAGATAAATGGCTTTTAGTGAGGCATGATCGTAGAGACATGAACGCTTCCATTATTCGACCCTGCCATGGGAGGCAACCTACCACCCACCTCTACAGCTGCAGGAGAAAAGCTAGATATCAATTTAATATTCTGGTTTTACGTTTTCTGCTCGTTTTATTTTATATATCTTAGGGATGGGGGTGGGGGCGTTTATACTTAATGATTGGCCAGGAATTCTTTTTTTTTTTTCCTTGGGTTACAATGGAAGGAAATCGAACTACTGACTTAGCTTAATTCTAATCCTTAATCGTTATTCTTTTCTATTAATCATGGATGGAAGATTCAAATTTTGGAATTTCTCTCAATATTTGGAACAAAAGAACCACGTACCGAGAGTTATGAGTTAGCTGATGATTTGGTCGTTGTTCTAAGTATGTTTATATGAGCCATTCTCAGATGCAAACAATGGCAAAAATGATGCTACAAGAAACACTAGCTGTTTATTCCTAGTTCTGTGCCTTCTCCTAGCTCGCTAAAGGATTTTCTATGTGAAGGATCGACTTATTAGATAACAATAGCTTCTTTATTGTTATCAATATGGCTTCCTCTAGAAAAATATTTGCATCCAACCCATAAGACCACAATAATTAAGTCATTTAGTACTACGGTGTAGTGGTATTCCTCTTCACTTGCAAACGAGAAGTCTTAGGTTTGATTCTCGTCAACTACGAATTTGAAACACATTATTGTTAACCCATTTGTTAGGCTAAGCCCACCCTGTACAAGAGCTCTTGTATGTGTTTATAAGGAGTTAGACTACTCCCTATTTTGCTAATTTGTTTAATGACGCAACCTCTTTATTTCTCAATTTCTTTCTCTAGGTTTATATTGGCAAAAATGAACAGTTATCCAACTCCTTATAAGTACATGCATGATCCATTCTTCCTCAACAAATTTCACTAAGTATTTACGCGCCTAATTCTCCATATTGGGTACACGTTTTGTAGCCAATCCCTTAAATTATGAGATGTTAGCTAGATTATAAGAGACCAGGTTGTTAGCACAATATTATTTTTAAGAAAGCAAAACTACAGAACCATTTAACTCTTTATCTAGTAATACGTCTCTTACCAGAATTTTGGAAAAATTAGAAAAAAAATTCGAACTCGAATCTCCCATAATGCTCGTTGATAAATGAAAAGGATAGTGCTATTTCACACTTTTTTTTTACTTGTCACATACTCTTATTAATTTTTGTTCATTGATCTTCTTCAATTCATTTGATTTAACGACCAAAAATTGAAAAGAGTGTGTAAAAGGCAAAAATGAGTGTGTGGATAGCACCGGCGGCGCTAGGCGGCTAGTTACCTCCCCGATTAATACCTAGGCCTTTGAAAATTAAGCAAAGGCACCTAGACCTACTAAGGTGTCTGCTTAAACCGCCTAGGTTGCGACTCGCCTAGATAACTTTCATTTTGCATTTTATTTTTTCAATAAATTGTAAAGACTTGTTGAATACTTAAATGAACACACATTATATGTTTGTTCCCCATGTTTTTATTATATTCCAATACTTCATAATATATATGTCATTATATTTTGTAGTTTGTGATAAAATTATATATATTTTAAATATAAACAACCACTTACACAAAATATAATAAATTTACTTAAATCCGTCTAGTTTGCTTAGGTGGCCGCCTAATCCCTGCCTAGCCGCCTAGGCGCTAGGTTCCAACCCGTCGCTTGACTAGCGCCTAATGTCTTTTAGAACATAGCACCACCCGATAAAAAAGTAAGACTTGAGAGGCTCTCTCCTTTGTCATTTTGCAATTTGGGAGGGACGATGAGTCGTCAACTTCTTTGGCAGCCTCCCCCTACCCGTCAACTTCAATTGGTGAACAAATGTTGGGACAAAAATGGTTTAATTCAGCATCAGTTGGCCAAGATTTTGTCTGAGCCCGGGCTTGAACCGGGGACTATAGCGTGCGACAGTAGCGTGATAACTGACTACACCACCCAGACTTCACTTGCCAACTTTTTGGTTGTAGGAGTTTGGAGTCTTTGGACATACAAAAAGCTTGTTAAACATGCATCTCATTAGTCATTGCCACATTATTATCGGTAGTGTAATAAAGACTAATCATCATCTATCAACTGTCTATTATTTACTGTTCTTAGTGTGTGTGTGTGTGTGTGTAGTTCATACGTGTATCATCTTCATGATGATGCGCAATTTTAATAACACTCAATTTATGGCATGTTTGCATGTTTACTACTTACCCAGAGTCACAGAAGCCAAGAATCAAAATGAGAACGAACGAGTATGAGATAATCAACTCAACTTTTGGCGGCTAATTACTACTACTGCAGGAAACGGACTTTCGAAGGTTCTTATTAAATCTGATTCGCAAGAGGTGGTCTCTCTCCTCAAGAATTGGGGGGACGTTTAGGGCAACATCGGGAATGTTGGTGATATAAACATTTTACTGGTGTAGATTGGTATGGAGGAGGTCTCCTTTCGATGTAGTCAAGGGAAAACGTCATGCACTTGGTCGGTTTGGGTTTCCGGGACAAGGAAGAAATATTTGGGAAGATGCTTCTTCGTTTTGGTTGATTCCGCGGCTGAAAAACGATCTTGGAGACGATTAGTTTGTGGTTGTTTGTTATGGATTAACTTTTGGATCAACATTATTTTTATTTTTTTCATTTTATTAACATATCTTTGCACTTGAACTTGCTGGGACATTGGGTGATCATGTAAATCCTGTTCTGCATGGATTAATGCAATCCCTAAAAGCATGCACACATCCAAGTTTCCTTTAAAAATAACATCAAGAATCATCAACAAGTAACAACTACTTTACATTCCCCCCTCAGAAACAATCTCTCAAACGTACACAACGATTAGTACATGATATTTCAAATCTCAACTAGTCTCTGATCATCTAAGCATCTGCATAGAACCCACCAACTGAGAAGGCCTCCGAAAACTAGAGTAATTCACATTACCCAACTGATTGCCACTCCCTTGGAATCCAACGCCGTCCGGTCTATCAGCCCCAGCTCTCTCCAAAGTCTGCACTTGCTTCTTCAAAAACTTCACATAATGTATGGCCTCATCCAACATAGAAGCAGTGTCCATGTTAATCCCACCAGGAACAAGTCTTTGCAGGATTCTGATCTTCTCACTAATCCTTTCCCTCCGGTGCCTCGCCACCACGCTCTGTGGGTCTTTCGAAATCTTCACGTTCCTCCTCTTCGGCGGCTTCACCGCCTCCGGGTCTATCTGAATGGGCTGCATTGCTGCTATCCTGAATATCATCTCCCTCATTGCAGCCATAGAGTTTCTCTTCTCGTATGGAGAAGTACTGGGTGGGACTGATAGTCCTGTAGGACTAATACCAGAAGGCTTAATTAGTCTTGGGGTTAAGGGTTCTTGGATTGGGTTTACCATGAAGGAAACAGAGGAGGGTAATGCAGGATTTAGCAATGTGCGTTGTTGAGGAACTGCATTTGGATTTGGGTCATGGAACATGGGTAGTGGAGAAATGGATTCAAGATTATTGGGGTTTGGATTTGAAACCCAATTAAAATCTATCTCTGGAAATGTGGGATTATTGTTGTTAGGGTAAGAGTCATTGCAGAAGTGATCAGGGGAATGATGCTGTTTTTGCATTTGCATCATCATTGTCATCATGTCCATGTGATGATGATGATGATCACCTCCTACTGCTGACGACGATGATAATGATTTGAGCATGTCAACATCCATGGCTTCTTAGACGCGAGAGAGAGAGAGAGAGAGCAGGCTGGAAATAATGTGAGAAACAGAGGAGGCAGAGGTATGCGGGGAGGTGATGAGTGAGGAAGAAGGGACTTTGTTTAGGGTTAGATTGGTGCTGTGACAGGGATAGGGAGGTTGGACAAAAGTTGAAAGGAAGTGAATAAAGTAGTGGAAGCGAGAATTGATTTAAATACTGAGAAAAAAACCAATTTAAAGAAAGAAAAACCAAAAATTTTGAGTTTTAACGATAAAAACAAAATAAAAGGTACAATGAATAATACTAGAATTAATTTTTTAATATAATACTATAATTTTTCGTTAAAATAAACTATATCATTGGTTTATTTGTTAAAACTCTCTTTAAAGAATCTAGCAGGCTTCATTGTAAGTGGGGAAGTACTTTATATAGCAAGTTCTAAGTGACCATTATTTTAAGCATCTCTGGAAACCTATAGAAATATCTAAAAAAAATAATAATTTATGAAATGCATCTGATAGAGACTGCCCACCATTTTATGAAATGTGGCAGATTCTTTGCGCTCTCATTTTCCGTGCTTTCTTGTTTTGTTTTGTGTGATCACGGTTAAGTCATGTTAATATTTTATATTATTTTTTTATAGAGATAATAAGATAAAAATGAATAATAATATAAAATATTGATATGATTTAACAGTAATCATATAAACAGAAAGACAAAGAACGTAGGAGGCAGAGAATCTGTCTCCTTTATGAAATGCATCTGATAGAGACTGCCCACCATGTAAGGGAAAGATTTATGTAAAATAGATTCACTGTTGCATGAAGTTTCAATTTATTAATACATTGTCATTGTCATGTTTAATTTGTTTACATATTAATATATTATTAAACTAAAGTGTCACAATAACGAACATTTTTAGTTCTGAAAAAAAAACAAATGGTCAAAGATCCCAAGTGTAGTAGTATTCTCATCAGAAAATGATCCTCGGATTCTTTTCTTATGAATTTTAGGGATTGCACAATTGTGATCATTTATTGTACATTATACAGTTAATTTTTATTATATATTATTTATATTTAATTTTATATTTTAAATTTTAAATTTTAAATAATTTTTTACTTTATAATATATAATAAACGGTCACGATCACATAATTCTTATAATTTATAAAAATCCTTTTCCTTGTCATCAGATTAAGGGTAGAGTTTTTGGAAGTTTGAAATTAATCTCCACTAAGTTGATGGGACTTTCGATGGGATGGTTGAAGAATGGTGCATGAACTTAGGAACTGTTGTACGATCTCTTTGACTTGAAGAAATTTGCTTCGCCTAAAAAATTTCACTTTGTGGAAAACAAAAAGATCAATTAGGAACCCACGGTCACATGAAATGTGTCAGACAAGAACATATAGCATAACCCATCTTCTTAGAGTTCGACTATAGAAATCGCAATTGAACACTTTTTCCTCTTATTCGTTCAATTTTTAACTGTTAATACATAATTGATTGATTATGAGCACAAAAAGATAAGTTTATACACATGTATCAAGTATGATTCGTCCATAACAAAGATTGAGTCATTTTATGTATGCAACCAGACGATGAGATAGAAACACACTATTGTGTACAATAATACTCAAAAATCTATTTTCTCAAACATGTTAGTTATAACAGTTTCAAATTTTAATGTCATAAGAAGATAAAGTTAAGTATGTTATTATATACAGCGGATAATACTCAATAATCTCTTTGCACACAGAGTTTAGCTATATCTGTTTCAACGTCGTAACCATTCGAGTGTGACTGTCACGGGATAAGTCCCGGCGTTGGAAATACTCCGGTGGGTGGAGTCACCGTCAGCGGCTTGCTCATGATCCATGGAGATTGTATTTATCCTGGTGTGCAGTGTGCACTACTGTTTGGTAGTCTCTCTCTCACTCTCCTCTCATTGCTTTTCTTGGCACGCTTTCCAAGGTGTGTTGGAAGCCTGACGGTGATGCTGATTGCTTCTTTACCCTCATTTTTCTCTGTCTTCCTTGCTAACTAATAGTAACAAACTTTAAACTCTGCGATCCCTTTTCCATGGACGTGGTAACTTAGGAATCTCTACGGATCCGGAAAAGGATTCTCTACGAATCCATTTTGTGTGAATCTTAGGAATCTCCACATCGTAGCCGTTTATTGTATATCGTGCGATCAATTTTCGTCAAATATTATTTATGTTTAATTTTAAATAAAAAATTAAATAATTTATGACTATACGATACACGATAAATGATTAAGATGAAATCCTTACAAAATAGATTCGGATAAAATCCAATTCCCCTAAGTCCTAACTGACAAAATCAACACAGTACATCAACCAAAAAGTAAAAAGACAATTTTGTGTTCTGTAATTGAAAAATCCAAAAATAATTTTACATATCAAATATCATATAATCTTATTAAACTCTTTCTCAAAAACAAATTCTACTATACTTCGATGTATCATATACATCAGTAGAAAATCTCACTCCGCATACAATCAGATGCACTTTAGAGTTAGAAAGGTGATTTGAAATGATTTTCGTAATTATTATATATTATATAATATTTTTCAATTGTAATAGTGTAGGTTTTCTACTTAAATAACTCTATATATATTATAATATGTTTCACCCATCAATACAAGAGGTAATATTTTCACACAACAATACAAGGAGTCATACTACAATAGCCTACACAATATGCGCGTGTGATTAAAAAGACAAAAAGGGTTTAGGAGATGGAAGGAAGTTCGAAGAGACAATAGGAATTGAAGGTTATGTTTTGATCATATGTGGGTGAAGAATAGAAAAATAAAATCAACAAAATTTGGTTTATGCGAAATTACATTACAAATTATGATTTTATTTTGTGATAAAAGACCAAATTGTCTCTCTACCATTTTTTGGGTGAAAAAAATAATTTTGTTAATATGTAGAAATCATACACTAATTACAACTGAAAATATATACCCTACAATATATATAATAATTATGGATTAATTTCCTTTAGTCTAACAGATCTCAAGAAGCGCTATTATTGTTGCAAACGTTCACATTATGTTGATATCGTCCCAAGCTATTATTATCCATAATATCAGTAACTAGGATCATATAATCTTGAAATAACATAAATAAAGTATATTACAATAATCGATTTGCTACGGTAATAGTGTTAAAGTAAAATTTGAACATTGAGAAGTAGAAATTAACTGAACAATTTTGAATGGTTTAAATCAAATCAACCGTTATCAACCGCAAAGAATCTTGAGCAAAGATAATAAAAATTGCTGAGAAAGTGTTCCCAATTTTTCTGTACAAGCTAAAGAAGCTATCACACTCTCTGTCTCTGTGATGTACATAACAAAGAAAGTATAAAACTTGCACCTCAAACGCACAAGCCAAAAGCAACTGTAGAAGTGCTTCCTTTCAGATTGTCTTGCCTTAACTTGTCACATTAACATTATTGCTCAAGAAACCTTTTTCATACTTGTTGATGAAATTTGAAAGTAACAGAAGACATTGAATTCCGTATTTGTTGAAATTTAGTCAGTGAGAGAGGAATCTTGGTGACGGTGAATGCAAAGGCCCTCTCAAAAATTCAACTTCAAAAACAAGTACAAATTTCCACATTTGCTTCTTTTATGCAGTTTTGGTGAATTGGCAGAGTCAACCCTGCATTGCATATTTAAGGGTGACTTAAACACTAACCTTGCTTGGGATTGGTTATTGATACTTTTGATGGGTATGGCCACGGCCTAGAGTAATAGTTCAATGTCCTTCCACTAACCTTGACTTAATTAGCCTATAATATCTTGCAATTACATGCATTAGGGGTGATTAGTTTCATTTGTTGTCCTCCACACCCTAATGATTCTACACAACTTAGAGTTGGGGAATTATGCTGGAAACTGTAACAACAATTAAGTAGAAGAAAAGGATTCGAATCTATGTAGAAAAAACATTAACATAGGTTTCTAAATCCTTGGAAATGGAGGATTTCAATGAAACGATTACATTGTCATCGTAGCATCATGTGCTACAAAATATTTGTAAGTTTTCATTCAGCCGGTACTATATTATTAGTACAAGAGTCCACAATAATGATTTGCTCCTGCCACATAAGTTGTTTAAAAAATTAAACAAAAAAAAAAGAGAAAAAAAATTCGACTAAACTGAGCGCAAATGGTCGATTTGGTAAGGTTTTGACCAAAGAAATGGCCACGATCTCTCACAACCGAACTGAACTAGTTTGGACATAATTGATCCGTAATTTCAAAGTTAAATAGTTCAACTGAGCCGAGACTGCGTGATGAACACTCGCACAAGACAAAATGGAAATGTTAATAATTCATTCAAGTTGGGAGTCAGGAGCAGGGCCAGTCCAGAGATTTAGGAAGATGTGTAAGACTCAAACAAAGGCTCTTATATAATCTAGAATTTTGGTTGCTATATTTTTTTTATATCTTATTGTGTATAAATTGATATAGCACAAAATAACATAAATACAAATGAAGCATGGTACGGTGGTTATATACTTATCTGCTCCCCTTATATTTTTGAGTTCAAAACTCCTTATTTTTTAATACAAAAAGCATGATGTGGTGGCTGACATTCGGGAGTCGTCTATAACATGCATGTGTACGGGTTGGTTGTTGGTTCATCTAGTTTCTGCTATATATGTTTGCATTTGCACAGAGGGGATCGAGAGAATGGACCACATTTCTGTTGAAATTAAATCATGCTAATCTGTAGCTATAATGGACTCTATATGGAACATTGGCTACAGTACCTGTCTGTCTCAATCTCATCTTTGTAAAGTCATGGTGCTGATATGCATGAAAGCAGTAAAATATTATTGTCTATGTATAAAGACACTACATAAATACTAAAACTCTTTTTCTTTTGGTCACTGTTCATTAACAGTTTAAGGGCGGAAAGTTGTACTGTGGCCTACCTTATATAGTGAATTGTCGGTTTTGCCCA